ATATGATACAAAAAAATCCCATTCCTTTTTTAACTTGAAATCAATTGGAATTAGATATGAACATTTGTTTAACCTCAAAAGTACAGTTTTTTTTATTTAAATGTTGCTTGAACAACAAGTTTCTCAGTGGATCTATGCTTGTCAATTCAGCCTAAAAATCTATATGGTTTCATACATAGTGTGTATTGAACCTAAAGCACTGTATTGAATGGTTCAATACAGATACATTAATTTTTGCACATCTATATTAAAAGTCCATAGGTTCATTCCTTACAAGAATACTTCCCACTGTACCTTTGTTTTTGTTGTATCAAATTTAAGGCAAGATAAAATTCTCAGTTCTATGTTTTGTTTTCCAGAATTGACATACTAGCAGAACTCCCAAAATCCTATTTTAGTTTGTCTATATTTGTAAGTTAAACATTTTTTTATGAACCTACTCTTAATTTATGTAGAAATCTTTACTTATCACAAAAAGTAATGAAATGTGTGTCGGGTAGCTTAACAACACTTACTGGCAATAATTATTATACTGGGCACCTGATTGTCAACAATGAGGGCTATAATAAGCTCAAAACAAGTGTCAAGGTGTCAAATGTCAATGGCAACACCAAAATAAGCTATTTGGCAATGGCAAAGAAGATTTGGCTTTTTTTTCCCACATATGCAACCCACATACTGTACATAGCTCTACTGCTCGTTCCACAAATGCATGATCCTTAGAAATGGGGCACCACTTAAAATTGAAATTAACAGGTTTCCCAATGGTATAAGAATTATCTCCAAGAAGCATTGTTACAACAAAGAAAAAATATWCCAATACAAATTGTCTTACGTTTTGTGCTTAGATTAGATTTGCTTTTTAAGGTCAGTTTGGCAAATTGTAACATTGTAAAACCAGTTTTGTTGCTGAATATCAAGAGATAAACAATAAAACTTACACTGATGTGGTCTGAAGCTTGAATGAGTCATCCAAACCAAAACAATGACATAATTATTTGTATKTTTTTGTGTGTTGTGTTGTATTGGTTTGTTCTATTACCCTGTTAACATGGTCATAGATTCAGGTCTTGTGGTTTGCTGCAGCCAGTGGATCATGACCTCCAGACATTGTTAAGGTGTCTCTTTGACACATGTTACTTATGAAAAGATCATCAGTATTTAACTCCTTGGAAACTTAATGACAGGCCAAAAGACTGAACCCTAACTGCAAACGTATACTGCAGCCAGAGAGATATTGTTTGAGGTGAGGTTCTGTTGAAGGGCAGTAAAGCCTGAGTACAAAATAATTTTCAAATGGATTATATTTTAAAGGGTTCTCAGTGGGGTTATATTGCTCTCTTTATGAATGTATACATTGTCCATTTTGTCAAAATGCCAAGTCTTGACGGTTGGCAAAAAGAAAAAGTGATGAAAATTCAGAACAGAACTATTGCAAGATCTGCTTACACCAAGGTTTTGCTAAGAAATAGGAGATGTAGCTGAACATGATCGCTTCAATGTTTAATGATGCATGAGCAGTAAAGTGTAAAACACTTTCCCTGTTAAGTTTCTCTAATTTGGTGCATCCCAAATCTCTATTGCTCCATTTTCCTTCCCTGTTTTACTGTTTCGTATTTAGCTATCTTTGTATCTGTCTTAACATCACCGTTGGCATGCTGCTATTTTCGATTTATGACATTTCATCACAACCTACATTCTGCCAGCATGCAGCATGCCATAAGCATACCCGAAATTAAAAATGCATGACTGTGAATTATACCCAGATCATAATGGTAGCAACTGCAAAATATTTCAGTGTATCAGAAAACATTTATATGTAAAACAAAAGCACATAACTGTGAAAGCTTGAGCCACCRTGGCACTGCTCCACTATGGAGACAAATAGCCTATCCACTAACTTGTAATGAGCAGAGCCTGTGCTATATATTGGAATTCCAGTTCTATTTCCTTTAAGTGTTAGTGAAATACAGAGGGAGTGTTAGAGGAGAGACAGTGGGAGTGGAGCATGGAGGGAGGTGAGATCTGAAATATTGAAGATGGATTTCTGTGGGAGTGGTGTGTGGRCATTAGAATGCTGATGGTGCAGAAGCAGCTACAACTTGGGAAATCACTTGTCTGTATCATTTCTCCACTCAAAACCATCATAAGAAGCAGTTTCACTGTTGGGTGTTCACAAATATTCATGAAAATGACATGGCCTAGTTCAGTTTTTTTATGCATCTTATTCATCTGCCAGTACAAATTATTCCTACCTTGATAACAGCAATTAAAAACTATTGTTTCAAAACTAACATTGTAGATTGAGACATCTCTGACTATCCAGACGTGTGTTGACTGGATATGTGGAAAAACTGATACTAATGAGTATCTGGCAGAGGCTTTATCTACAGGTGGTTAGTGATCTTGCCAAGCTGGAGCTAGTAACTGAGGCTGCTGGTGGGAAATAAAAAGCAATCAACTGATGTGTCTAACCCTACATCCCTTTGGGATAGATAAAAGCTTGGCTGATCCCAAACATGTCAGTGTTGGACATTGCCACGGTAATGATTAGCATGGCGAACCTCTAAACCCACCCGATTAGGTATTCCCAGTGCTAAAATGTTGGCCAATTTCCATTCTTTAGTTCTTTTTTTTTTTTAAATTAGAGATACAGTGGCCAGAATTTTTTTTCAGTATATGCAAATAGAAATATTTGGATTAGTCTATAAGTTATAAGTATTGACCTTAGGCACAATKAAATTGAACTGGGCATGTTCTTCAGTATTTTTGATAATTAAATTTATGTCTGTGCAAAGTTTCATGAATATCCACTAAGCCATTTTTGCATGAGAATTTTTTAGCACAGTATCTTTATAAACTGTAGGTAAATAACAGTAAATTCCATATTTTTTAAATACTTTAATCTAAACATTATAGCTATTGATTATTTTTATTATTTTTATTTATTTTTTTATTATTCGTTTAAGGCACTGTTAGAACTATGATAGCAGTTACATTTTTATTGACATTTGTTTGGCCTTAAATGGACTGAAACAATTGACTTTAGTACAGTTTTGGTCAAATGTTGGTTCTGAGCACARAAAGGATTTTGTAATTATTGATGATTTTACAGTAGTAAGCATGATAAGGTTKTTTGTCTAAAACTTTGTYTTTTTGAGAGGCTTGATGGATTTTAACATACAGTATTTGCTGTTGGTTTTGACCAAGTTGTAAGACAATACAATATGCTACATCAAAAGAACTATGAAATTGGGATAGTATGATGATGACATAATTGGACCACTGCCTAAGCTTAACCAAGCACCTACAATGGGTTGAAGGTATTGAGGCTGTGGAGATAAATTTAAGTGTGATTGTATTGTTGCATGCTCACTGAGCCACTCTCAGCTCAATAAACCCATGACATTGTCATTTTATGTAAAGAAGCAATCATTAAGCAGTCATTTTACTGCATCACTTAGCATTAGGTCCTTAACAAAAACTCATGTTATATCTAAAGGAGGTAATCATTGTTTAGGCCTACATAAAGCTAAGATCATCTTACATATCCCAGACTGATTCACTGTGCAGCCATTATCAAATGTTCTGCACCAATACCACCAGTGTATAGGTCTGTAAAAACAAGTTATTTTTCTTTTTTTTCACTATTATGATTCACAAATGTCTTGTATGTGATACATGCACATTCAARCCTGAATAAAAAGGGTGCAATATTTATCCTAAAATGACAGGTAGAGCTAAATGAGGTTGGATGTGTATTTGCAAATTATTCCCTTTTTATTATCATTTTCATTTTTAATTATCCACTTTTCAGACTTRCCATGTCTGCTCTGGGTTCAACCCTTTGGAAAATGACTCATTATGGATATTAATAAAATGTCTATGTTTATATTGTCGATATTTAAAAATAATAAATTTTAAACTTATGAAGTTACTTCTTTGTTCTTTTTTTATATCTCATGAACTGCCTTTTTGTGGAGGATATCTGAGAAGYCTAAAGTGGTTTCTTTATGGTTACTCTGACATGTTTGACTGAGTGACTGACTGAGAATGACATCAAGGACCATTTACCATCTTATAAAACAACCAGTCCCTGAGCAGTTTAGAACAAAGTGATTCTATAAACAAAGATGCAAGTCACAGTGCCTGCCCTTTATGAAAAAAGTAAACAACATCTTTACAAGCAATTTATGTCCCTGTCCTTCACAGCTCTTATATCCCTTATTCTTTCCTCCTGATTTGCCCTTTTTCCTTCTGCCAATTCATCCGATTATATTACTACATTCTATTGGTTACAGTGCTGAATTATAAGCAGTCACTGCTGAATTTATTGTACTGAAATGATCATGAATCATTAATGGCTGGACTGTTTTTCTGTGTTTTATTTATTTTTTTCTCAATGTGTTGTAGCTGAGGAAGGCAGTGATGGACCACATCTCCGACTCTTTCCTGGAGACCAACGTACCCCTCTTGGTGCTCATCGAAGCTGCAAAGAGTGGAAATGAAAAAGAGGTCAAGGAATATGCTCAGGTGTTCCGTGAACATGCCAACAAGTTGGTTGAGGTCAGTTTGTATTTTTTACTTTGGGACACACACACAATATGTGCTAAATAGTTGTTTAAACTTACTGTGTCATCAATGTAGACCTGTGTGCAGTAAGTGCATGTATATTTATCATATTGTTGTGTTTKTTGGGTCATTTTATAAACATATTTAGCAGGAACTGTATGATACAACACTCAAATTAATTTTATGATATATTTATCTACATTCATGGGGTGACTGTGGCTGAGTGGTTCAGTGAGTCATCCTCCAAGGAGAGTTGTGGGTTTGATTACCCTGCTATTCTGTCACATGTTGAAGTGTCTCTGGGCAAGAAACTGAACCCCCACTGATATGTGTCCCATCAGTGWATGAATGTGATTTAAGCACCGATTAGTGTCCATAGAATGATGTCCTGATGCATCTCAGTAATTCAGGCAGAAAAATATCAAAAAGAAAAAATAAGTAGGTCCTCTCGGTGGGTTCTTCTTTAGTGAAATGTTTCGTCTCTCCTCCAAGAGACTTCTTCAGTCTGATGAGTTTCAGGTGAACTCAGCCTTATAAGCACTGCCTTCACATGGACAAACAGGTTAGTCACATGCAAAAGAGGGCCATTGCCTAACAATGGGCTTGATTAGCTCTATTGTTCATAGAGGGTCRTATGCCCCACATGAACACAGAATTGGGGCACATGACCCTCTATGAACAATASAGCTAATCAAGCCTATTGTTAGTCGATGGCCCTCTTTTGCATGTGACTAACCTGTTTGTCCATGTGGAGGCAGTGCTTATAAGGCTGAGTTCACCTGAAACTCATCAGACTGAAGAAGTCTCTTGGATGAGAGACAAATTGTTTCACTAAAGAAGAACCCATCCAGAGGACCTACTTATTTTTTCTTTTTGATCCATAGAATGATCTTTCTACTGTAGGTTAGAGAGATATAGCGTAATGTTGTGTGAATGGGTGAATGAGGGCACATCCCTCAGTGTAAAGCGCTTTGATTATATTGGTTGAATAGGAAGTTGCTATATACTGTAGGTGCAGTCAATTTACCGCCGATCCCTGATAAAGCAGCTAAATCATCATCAAGAAAAATATTCAGACATTACCTTACATTATAGTGCTGATTCCACATGTTGTCAGTTTTGTTTAAGAAAATCAAGTCTCTTCACGGTTTCAGACTCATACAGAATGGCTRGAACTCCACAACTTCCACATTTCTGTTTTTATATTTACCATTTTGGTTGTAACAGCTTTCGTGATCAAGATAGAACCCTCTACAGGTGCACGTGTCTTGTTGAAAATCAAAAATTAGGGTGCAGGCAGGTGACGTGGCATTGGTGTTGCTAGATGAATAAGAATTACCATTTTTATGAGATAATTCTAGAGTCATGTTTGTCAGTTACAACACACTCATCTTACAACCTCTCCCCTCTGAGAAAGCATACCCTTACTTAGCACATACGATAGTTTGAGTCAAAATGGAATCTCTCAAATTGGTAACCCTGCCTGGCATGGAAACCACAGCAGATTCAATGAGCACCATAGTATCCATGTAAACTTTTTTTGTCAACAACACATTAATTTACAACAATCAACACTAAAAAAACAAAAACAAAACAAAACAAAAAAAAACCACAAATGTTTCCAGAAAACATTCAACAACATTATTCTGAGGACATTTTTTCAGTATGCTTTTCATTTGATAAAGTATCAAAGAAGTGTTCCATTCCTTTTGCTCAGTTGTTGTTTCAAAGTTATATTTGTATYTACTTCTGTATTTACTGTATCCATTGTGTCTGCAAAAAATATTGTGTTGATGTTGATTTAAAAAAAATCTTACAGATATTAGAATACACCATAAAGTCTATTATTCTCTTTATTTCATTTTTTAAATCACAACAACATGTTTTAAAGGAAGACACTGCTGTGAACCTTAAAGACTAAACCGCATGTGTACAAACTCTGATTTGTAGTGCTTTTGCAATCTTAGTGACAGACAAGCAACGTGATTAGCTGAATGTATCTGGAAAATCAAAGTCATACACAGACAAAATCACAAACAAAACATTTCAATCAAAAAAAGAAAGAAAAAAATCCTCAAAGTTCAACCCAGTTGACAAATTTTATTTATTTTAACAACAGAAACTGACATAAAAAATAAATAAATAAAGCCAACAACATACAGATACCAGGACCAAAGGCTGGTCCACTTTGTCTGCTTAAAAAATAAACTCTGATCCTTAAGAAAATGTTTTTTGATGACCTCTGACTTAAAGGAACTTAAAGAGAGGCATGCAATCTGAMTTGCTAAGGGGTGCCCCAAATGAATCTGAGCTTTTGGGTGGAAAGAAACTMTCTGTAAATGAGACACACTGATGCCCCTGAGCTCTGAAAGGTTAAATGGATTCATCATGTTATAACTGACAGTGAAGCACATGCATAACAATTTTATTTTAATAAGCGTGTGAGATGCTTTGTCATCTACTTTGAGTGCTTCAGCTKTGATCTACTTGTCTTATTGCTTTACAGACCTTGTTTTAAGACCTTTTCTTAGCCTCCGTGATAAAAATCAACAGCTGACAGAAGATTGACTGTCATAAATTAGAAATTTATTTATATTTTAAATTGACAAATTTAAAAAGCTTTTAAAATAAGGGGTCAAAATACAACTTGTCAGATGGAAGATGAACTATAAATGCTATTTTGAGACATGTTAAAATCACTGAGCTGCATGTRCACTTATGCAAATAACTGCCATTGCAGATATTTGATTAAACATTCTGTTGCATAAAAGTAAAATACAATATGTGCCCTTGTGTGTGTGTGTTGCATCTGACAAAAACAAATCAATGTGATTTTCATCTGTAAAAGGTCAGGTGCTTCAAAACAAATGTTTATGTATTCAAACCGGGTTAATTCAGAGCCAGTGTTTCAGTTTGATTCAAAGAATGGGCACAGCATAGTGAAGAATGTTGATTGTAAATCTTGTTTCTTTATGTAAAAGTATGCTTGCATGGTACTGAACAAAATAATTTTAGCTTTGTAATATATTTTTTCAAATTAAGGAGATACAGTATAATTGTCAGTATAACTGTCATTGATGCTATTGTGTCATCTTCAATATGTGTACAACTATAGATAGTCATCAAAGCARGCACCATTGCTGCCTTCAACTAAATTAGGATAACTAACATCCTGGTGGATGCCATTGCACTGCAGTCATCCTTCTGATGTCAGGGAGCCATAAGCTTGAAGCTGAAATGTGATCAACAGTATCAGATTATGACTTATTGTCATACCTGCTGGGATTCAGTTTGCTTTTGTTCCATTTGGTAATGTACAATTTAGTTCTACTCTTTTTTTCCCTTCATTGTTCTCTTTTCACCTCTCTAAGGAACAAAGTTCACCTTCCAGACTCTCTTAATCACAGAGTGTTCATTACATCAAACTGRCAAACAACACAAAACCAATTATTATTAAGTTGGGTTTATGATTAGCCTAAAATCTTGTAATGGATTCATAAAAGTTAATTTAACCTACCTGCCACAGCCAGGAAGCAAGTCTCTGTCTGGTCTAAATTAAATTGTAATAGTGTTGTCAACGCATGATTTACCTTTTGCAAAATACACTAGGAGCCTTTTATGTAAAATGTTTACACTAACACATGCTGATGTATTTTTTAGCAAGTAGATGCAAAATTATTATTATTACTWGTATTATATTCTTGACCATTTTCACTGGATTTTGATTAAAAGAACTGGAAAATAACTATATATTTTGTGTATGAAGACAAGGTTTTCCCTTAAGGACAAAGTCTTAGACAAATATACATTTTCATTAGTTTACAAAGGTACMTCATGCACTTACAATTTTTACTTTTGACAGAAGACAACATAAACCAATAATTTGCTATCAACAGTTCCAAAATGTGTTTCTATATTTGCACATGTGTATCTGACCATGTAAATTCACAGATAAAACAAACAAAAGGCATAATTATAATACAAACTTTTTTCAAGGCTCCAACATGTTTTTATGTGCAACTTTGTTGCAAAGCAAAAGTGTTTGTTTTTATGTACTATACAATATGTCTACATAAAAGGGTTTTATCYCATTTATGTACTGCCTTTCTTTTTTGTCAACACTATGCAGTACAGATGAATAATTACCATGTTCAGTACACTCGCCTTTTTCATTGGCCTTGAAAACTCATCATTAAATTAGTGCTGCCTGCAGCATCGTGGGGAAAGGGTGACTATTAGATCTTTTAAAGCCACCAAGGTTCCTTTTTATTATAACTGCAATGATATTATATTTGCGCCAGTGACTCTTGGACGTCTAAAGGACGTTACGCCCCATCACTATTCTAATGTCAGGATGAGATTTTTCGTTGACCTTGACTTCATCTTGAAAGACTTTGGTGTTCTTACAGACTTTTCTGCAGTACATATGCTTTATTTCTAAAACATGTTGTCAATGATTTTACGACTATGAAGGAAACGGCTCAGTGACTACACAAGTCRATAATGCGTATTGGCAACATTTGTTTATGTCATATTTGCATAAATCCTTCCTTTGGACTAAAGTTGGTTGTGATTACTTATAATTAGTAAGTAGTAGAATGTAGCCTATAATGGATTGTCTTATGGAGCTGAAATATATAAAACAAATTGAAGCAGTAAATATTSTAAAAGTCCTGCATGAAACACTTTACTGGACACTTACCAGAGAAGTGTGTGTGGATAACTGTTTGAAAAGGTGCTTTTGAACCTGTAGGCCAATGAAAATCTTCCCTTTCATTTAAAGTTGTGAACTTTGCAGTGAACTATGCCTCAGGGACCTATAGCCACAGAAGTACAAATAAAGATATTTTACACACTACACAGTCCATCTCTGATATATAATATTTCAGTTGAGCTCACCTCACATATGTCCTTTCCAAATTTGAATATATGTATATATTTCAGTTTCTCTCTACCTTTCTGTTTGGAGTCTCACTGCGAGTTCTGTTGGTGAC